TTATCGCAATATAGCAGTGATTGTTTTTGCTTTGAAAACACTTAAAAAGAGTGAGGTTTTCTCTTTTTAAATTCTTTTATTTCGAAAAGATTGATCGAACCTGGAGGAAATTACGGAGTTCTAAAAAATTCTGGTGCAAGACCTTTGTTCCAGCCTGATAAAATGTTTATCTATTAAGGTCTTATACAATGCCTTGTACAGAATTACCTTCTTCTCATTCGGAATGATTCATGTAGGAAACATTTGTGATTACTAACAAGTGAAATATGTTTCTAAAGAACCGAGAATACTTATTCGGCTATGCTGTCACACATGACTAGGTAGCGACAGTTTTTGTTCTAATTTGCGTTGGCTGTATTCTGCATGAGTGGATATTGGTATTTAGTTTTGTTTAGAATAATGCTGAGGATTTAATAACGATTTACCATGCCTCGATTGTCCGATTTTATTCTGGAAAAAACCATCTTTTTCGATTCAAAAAAAGTGCAATCGATGTTAAGCTTATGTAGTTTTTTTTTTTCGGAAGTACATGATGACGTACTTCGTACATCATAATTCTTTGGTCTCAATCATGTGTTGTCGATTGATGATGTTTTGTGGACTCAAAGCGCTCACAAACGTCTGAGAGACACTTCCTTTGGCTCTACATGTTACCATAACAACTTACCGCATTGATTGCAATCATCTTTCAAACATTTATTTGCATTAGTGGACTTCCGGACTTCATGTTAGGACACATTCCTTTTCAACATTTTCTTACAAGGTGTCTTTTCTGCGTGGGTTAAGGGTAGTGATTTTTCCCGGCATAATTTCGCTTAGTAGTTTTTCACTTTTTCGAACCCCTTTTCGCCATGAATAACTTACATTTGGATTTTTCAGCGCATGAAAATGGCGAAACCAAGCTTTTCTCGAAGCTTTCCAGGTCCGCGTTTAGTGGAAAATACGTGTAAATGGGCGGAGTCTGTAAAGAGGGAGGCGGGGCGCGACTTTTTGGCGTATTTTCACTGAATGAAGGACCTGAAAAGTTTCGAAAAAGGTTTATTTTCGCTATTTTCATGCCCTGAAAAGCTCAGATATGGGTTCCTCTCATGGCGAGAAGGGTCCGAAAAGGTGAAATACTGG